AGGGTCTTTCCAGCTCCAGAGCTCCCAGGAGAGGGGGCTGAAGCTCCCATTGCATTTGCATAAGAGTTTAACTTCTTCTGCCCAATCCTGCCTTCCTCCTTTTCCTCAAGCATATCTCCTGAGAACACTCCTCATAAGACCTTTTGAACAGACCTTTCTCAGGATCCAACCTCCCACCACCTCTACTCCTTTGGGGGAGGAAATATCTCTGCTCAGGGTCTTCACAATACACCGTTTCCTGCCCCTGCTATGCGTGTCCTCTCCCTTACCCACTGTATCCTTTAGGGCGCAGGAATGCTTGAACTAAAGTTTCTCTCTACTTTTTAGTCCATAATTCAACGAATCAGAACCAAGCAAGACTAAATTCTTTCTGATTTATATTTAACTGGGTTTTCATAGTAAAATTATTAGATAACCAAAGTTCTAAGATTTTGCAGAAATTAAGAGAAGTTGAACGAAGGGAATGATTGGGAGTTTGTAATTGTGAGGAAATTCAATGATTAGAAATATATGGAGGACTTTTTGGAAATATTTGTTTTTCTGCAAGAAATATTATTATTTCTAATATTCCCAAATTGATTCTTAAATTAGAAAAATTGTTTTCTTCCAAATTTGAGTGGATAAGAACTAGCTCCCAGAGGAGAGGATAAGAAAGACAGAGAGAAAAATAACAGTTCAGATGGATAAGGTGCTCTCCATTCTGGAAAGTTTAGTAAAACTATATTCTAACGTCCCATTACCACAGGAGATCAGGTAGAAATGTAGCTGTGATCATTATAATTTTGTGAAAACTATGATTAGCATAAATATATAAAGAAACTCAGAACTGGAGGGAATGTTAAGAGTCCTTAATATTAATCCCAGGGAACCCTAGGGGAGGTTAATAGAAAGGTTTACCTTGGGGGAGAGAGATCTTCTTCTTCATCCTCTGATATCAAAAATAAAATTGTGTGTATGCATTTATCTACATTTATTTAGAAGAGAGTTAAGATTCTCATTAAATCCTCAATATGGATATTTATGGCCCAAGAAAACACCAACTCTTGGATAAAACTGAAATTAAATAAAAGAAGCTGCTGTTTTATTTTCACTTTATCCTGATTTCCTGTTTGGCCTTGAGCCACATATTTAACATATTTGTGTATATAGATTAGAGTCATAATTCCAGGCTTTTTAAAGACAACAATGATGGACTATCTGTGCGCTTACATGGGTGAGAAGTAAAAAGCTCTCAGTTAAATATGACACGGGATACACGAAGATGAAGCTTCCATACTTAAGCAGCTTCTTAAAAGTGACATGTTCTGAGAAAGACGTAGCAGTAGTTCATTCATGAGTGTGAGAAACTAGGTACATCTTAGAAGAAAATCATGTTCGTGTAAGCAGTTTATCAGTACTTATAATTACTTGGGAGAGTGTAAAAAATGGGTAAAAACTCTTATTCTGTTGTTCTTTTTTCAAATTTGTCAAACATTTTGGTAAACAAAAGGCTAAATAGTATTTTGGTTGTTTAAGTTAGAAAGCAAATACAGTACAATATGGAGACTTAATTTATAAGGATATTTTTCGGTGGTGAGAACCACGACAGGATTATACGCATCTATGTTTTATATTTCATGCCTGAAAGTTCTAGCACTGAACAAAATTCTCAATGTGTATTCTTTCCGGATGAACTGCAGTTAGACAACTAAATCTGTAATGCAATATAACATGGTCATATGAACCTAGTGATGCAGAAAAGACGATCTGTACCACCTTGGATATGACCAAACTACAGGGGCAAACTAAATGCCTTGTGCGGTCATTAATTTAAGAAAGGCAGTGAATTGTTTTTAAAGGAGGAGGGTAATGTAACTGATGAAGAATGAATAAAAGTAGGCATTGACCTTCAGTGCACTGTAATAAGCTTGCAGAATTTATTTGTAAACTGCTTTATAAGTCAATTCCATGTGCATTAAAAACTAATCAAGTGACTTTGATGCAGTTCACTGATTTTTAACTTGGCAATTTACTTGAGCATATAAGAATTGTTAGAATTATGTAAGAATGCTTGCAAAACAGTAACTGTGATACACTGTTGTTTAATCTTATTTGCACAGATTGGTTACTCTCATCTACAGTTTATTAATCTAGAACTTAAAGGTGAGCATATTTGGAGTTTGCACATTGTGTCATGTCTTTTATCAGAAAGATAAACCAATTACAACTGTATTGAATACTGTTAACTACTAGCTCACAAATGAAAGCTTACAATAATAATTTAGCCTGCTTAATTATCAAATTTTCTGTAATGGGTAATTTACATAAAATGAGAAGTTTAAAACATTTCTGTGTATGTTCTAAAACCAGAATGTAGCAATTAATAACCTCTGAAAAAGGTGAAATTAACAGTAAGAGTTGCATCAGGTACGAAGGGCATGGTAGAGAGTTCACCATTTCCATGAGCTTCTGAGTTCTACTCAATCAATCATTTTTGGTAAACATGGGTCAATGCAATTCCAGAAGGCTAAGATTATCTAATTAAGTTGGGCAGAACAATTAAATATCCTAGTTTTCCACAGTCAGAATTGAAGCATATTTTCAGTTTAAGATCTGCTTATAGATATTCATTTATCATGCTCAGGCATTCTGTCAGAGATGGGATTTGGTAAGCAAAATAGTTGGGTGCCCTGCCCTCATGAGGCCTATGGTCCACTGAGGGACAGAAATGTTAATCAGGAAAAGGGCTAGAATCAGAGAGATAGATCAAGAGATTGGATTTGCTATAGGATTTTGTGGTATCTTTAAGAGTTTTAAGTGAAGATGTCAGTGAGGCCAATAGATACGCAGGTTTGGAACTAAGAGAAGAGGTCTGAGCTAGAGATGCAGATTTATGAGTTATTGGATTAAATATGAAATTAAAACTATGTGTGCATTTACTAGAAGAGTGTATTTAAATGCAGAAAAGTCCATGAGTTTTGAGAGCGATCTTCCATGTTTCAAAACCATCCTCAAAGCACTGAGGAAAAGTTCATAGTAAATATATTAAAGATAAGGGTACCCATGACACTTAAAGAATATAAGAAGGTAGATAATATTGTAGCCCAAAGACTCCGACTGACTGACTAGAAGGGCAATGTGTAATTGTCAAGCCATGGGGCCATGTGGACATAGACTACTGCACTGGCAATAGGGTTTTAGAAACTCTGCATTTTCTTGTAGATGATACTTAGAAAAGCTTTGAATCACGCAATCTTTTTTGGATGTTTTATCTCTTCATTTCTTTTAGTAGTTATTAGTTTTTTAAAAAATATATATAAGGAATGCATGCTTGATGTAACAAACAATAAAGATATATAAAGAAGAATGCAATACATTGCCTTCCCCCACTTCCAAACTCACTTAGCCAGTTAACATTATGAGTTTGGTGTGTGTTCTTCCACATCTTTCTCTACCGCTATAAAACTTACATCGACAAAATATAACCTTTTATGATTTTTAATGAAATGTCATGAATATTAAACTGAAGCTTGCTTTTTCACTTAACACTATTTTTTAATAAACTTCTAATTCTAATCAAAACATAAATATATATGGGGCGCCTGGGTGGCTCAGTCGTTAAGTGTCTGCCTTTGGCTCAGGTCATGGTCCCAGGGTCCTGGGATCGAGTCCCGCATCGGGCTCCCTGCTCCGCGGGGAGCCTGCTTCTCCCTCTCCCGCTCCCCCTGCTTGTGTTCCCTCTCTCGCTGTGTCTCTGTCTATCAAATAAATAAATAAGTAAATCTTTAAAAAAAAACATAAATATATGTATACTTTTTTTAAAAGAAGATTCCTAAGTATAAAAATGCCATGATTTATTTAACCATTTTCCTTCTGATGATATTCAGACCGTGTCTTGTTTTTGTGTGTTTGTACTACCCTATAAATGAGGTTGATAAGTACATATTTTCATTTTAATAGATATTGTACGATGACTTTCCAAAGAATTTGTAGCAATTTGCTATCCCATCAGCAAAGTGCCAGAATGCTCACCAGCATTTTTTGCCATCACTCCATGTTATGTGCTTTTTTTTTATTTACTGCTAAATTGAAGAGTGGAAAATGATATGCTCTTGTTTTGATTTTCGTTTTTACTGCCAGTGAGTTTATATATTTATTAGTTAATATTTTAATTTTAATACCCACCTTTTAATGTTAGATTTAGTTGTCCTTCTAAGCATCATTCATTGAGATATGTACAACATTTCATGCCATATTCTCAGATTTTGGAACACAAAATGACAGGAAAAAGAAATTCTTATCTATACATCTCTATCTGAAACCAAAAGCCTTCCAAAAATTTCAAATGGAATGAGGAATGTTTTTATACACTGTTGACCCCACTTTTCTAATCCACACATGACTCATGGTATTATCTAATACAAACCTTCTAGATAGGTCAGGCCAACTTCTTATGCCCACCTCATTCTCTTCCCTCTTACTTGAAGTACAGTAGACCCCCTAGTCCCCCAAACACACATATGCACTATAATCTCTCCTGTGTCTGTCCCTTTTACATATGATGCCCTATCCCTTCTTTTCCTTGCTAAACTGTATTCCACCCTTCCCATTTCCTTAAAAATGGTTGTATAGTGTATTTAACACTATGTAGTACGTAATAATGTGTAATATGTCTTTAATTTATTGAAATAAGAAACCTCGTGTCTTCCAAATAATGCTTTCATGTCACTGGAGTATATTTAACCATCAGAAACATGATAAGATTATTTTACTGTTTTCTTACTGCTTATGTGGCAATTCATATTAGTCTCAGAAGTTTTCTACAATATCCCTCATTCCAGCTATAAATGAGTTAATTATTGATTAATAACTCTTTTTACATGGTATTTAAATTTGAGTCAACGATACTTGTTCATTTGTTTGTTTGTCTTAAGGGATATGTCTTATATATGTATAATGTGTGTGTGTGTGTGTGTGTATATTTGTCTTGTAATAATGTTTTTTCCTGTCTCCATTTGTAGGGAAACTTTTTGGGTTTAAATTCCCTGGTCTGAGAGTTCTCACTTACAGAAAGCAGTCTTTACCCCAAGAAGACCCTGATGTGGTAGTAATTGATTCATCTAAACATAGTGATGATTCAGTAGCCATGAAGCACTTCAAGTCTCCTACAAAAGAGAGCTGCAGCCCCTCCGAAGCAGATGATACAAAAGCCTTGATACAGCCCAGCAAATGTTCCCCCTTGGTGAATATATCTGGACCTCTTGACCATTCCTCTCCCAAAAGGCAATGGGACCGACTCTACCCTGACATGCTGCAGTCAAGTACCCAGCTGACTCATTCCAGATCGAAGGAAAGCATCTGTAGTATACGGAGGGCTTCTTCAGTTCACGATATAGAAGGATTCAGTGTCCACCCCAAGAACATATTTAGAGACCGACATGCCAGCGAAGGTATGTTTGTTTTTTTAAATATGGAAATGAATATTAATGGGTAATGAAAGGTAATTTCCATATTGTTTTTAATTTTGACATTAATCCTTATGCCTTGGGGTAAGAAATGCAAATAAATTATGGCAGTTAAAAATTAGGAGTCCTACATTCAGAGTTGTTACTGATTTCCTCTTTGAACCATAGTGAATAATTTGGTTTCTTCTGGCTTCTTTTCTGTGTTTCTGAAATGGTATGATAACCATTATCTGCCTACCTTATGGAATGTTAATTAATGCTTTATATAAGATATGCTTAGGTGATGACACTATCATCTCAAGCACAATTAATTTTGCTGCATTTCACAAATAGTCAAGCCTTGGGCAGAATGAGTGGTATGCCTTCACAGGACTATGAACCAAGTCTTTCCAAAGGAAGACGTGTATAAAATGTGGTGTACTGAGTCATCAGAAAGCTATAAATGATTGGGTGGGGTGGAGATAGGAAGGAAGAAGGGGAAAGGTTTAGGGGAAAAACAACCAAAACAAACCCTGAGAGTACTGAAAGAACAAACTTGAAAACCGAAGTCAGAGCAAGTCAGAATTCATTTATTTTTCCCCGGCCTCTTGGTGTTCACACTTACATTAGCCAGTAGTGAAAGCAGCAATGCTGAATAGACACTGGCGAAAAGAATTCATCATTAACATGACAATGGCCAACATTTACTGAGTATTTGCTACGTGTGAGACAATGTAAATGCTTGACACACATTAACTCTCATTTAATTCTTACAACAACTCTGTGAGTTAGGAATTATTATTAAACCCCATTTTATAGATGAGGAAACTGAGGCTTATTTATGTTACATAAATAACTCGTCCAAGGTTACAGAACGCCAGGGTCAGCTTTCACACCCAGGACCACCCGTCTCCAGAGTCCACAATACACCAGGCCTCACCAGATCACTGGGCTCATAGTGTAGGGCACAAGGCCAGCAGGCCACAGTTATTTTTCAGGCCTTACTTCCTGCTCCTGCAGGACTCCTTCCCCTATTATATATTGCCCTCAAAACCTGCACAAAGATAATTGCTTTTTCCCAAAAATGTATCACACATTTTCTTGCTTCATTAGTTTGTTCTGCCACGAATAACTCTTCTCCACTTTGTCTCTCCTCGTTCTGCCTCTCACAGGCATAAGGACCCATTTCCCCTTCCCAAACCAAAAGAATTAAATGATTTCACACCCGGGTGTGCAAAGCAGTGTTTGCACATATTATAGCATTTATTACATTTTACCTTTATTCCATATTTTAAGTCTGTCATTTCCGTTGGATATGCAAAGCACAAACTAGATTTCTGTGAGTTCCCCCAGTGCGGGAGCTTGGGCACAGTTAGCTCTGCAGCCTTAGTATCACAATTGCCTTTTTCATGGCAGGAACTCAATAAATGTTGGTGTGAAACTGAGAGGACCGTGCTCGTGAAGTATGTTTCAAAACCACACACAGCAGGAAATGATTGTTCCCCATACTACTTGAATCATGTGGGGGAGCTTTATGTGAAGGGCACAGTGAAGATGAAAAGGCAGAAATGATGAAAGAAAATGAATTGGCAGGAAGAATTCAAAGAGATTAAGTCAATATCACAAAAACAGAAGGAAGAGTTTTCCATAGATAGGTTTGAGAAACTGTATCTGGCACAAAAGCAATTAACACATCCATTTTAATCTGTGGTCTAAAGAAGGTTAAAAAGAAAATAAAATCAAGGACAATTCCCAAACCGAATAATCATCTAAGGCCCCCCTACTGTGTAGTAATGGCATGCTCAATATCTCTGACTGAATGAAACCTCTGAAATTTGATCTTTGAGCAATGAATCCCATGACTGAACAGCAATAAATCCAATAGGGTGATTCAGATGACCCACATATATTTTAGTTTGTTAGTGCAGTTAGTGTAAGCATCTTTAGGAATCATACTGACTTCAGAAATTGGCTTTATTGCCTGAGTTACAGTATAATAACATTCTTACGTATTAAATGATATGCAATGGGTGCATGGTAAAGACTTAGCCTCTGGTTTGATAGTGGTGCTGAGTAGGTTAGATCAGATTTCACGATTTCACTTTATTTTCTTCATTTCTATATGGTCTTTATTTAGTACATAATTGCTGATACAATTATGGGAAAGAAAGATTTAACATTTCTGGATAGAGAACTATTCAGGACCCTCAGTAGTGAGGTCATCCTCAATTTTCTTCCCCCACCCAAGCTATGTTATTTCCAAAAAAAAATATCACTTTCTGGCAGATGCTCTAGTCATCTGGCTACCAATTGATATGTTCAGAGGGTATTTTGTAGTTCAGCTTTGGAACAATTTTAGCTACAAAATCACTGATTAGCATAAAAGAAACTATACCTCCTAAGGATACATAATTTGGTATATTTTAGAAACTGAGCCGCTGACAAAGGAAGCTGGAAAACTTTTAAAAAAATGTCTTATTATTTTTATTTGAGTATAATTGACACACAGTGCCACACGAAGATGAAAAATTTTTTAAACTGATTTTAGTTTCATGAATTCATGTGACTGGTTAACAGGTTAAATCCCACATGCAGCAGATTTTGAATTCAAATTATTGCCTCCTCATTCAAGAAGAGAAATTTCCTTCTATAAATGCTATTTTTATAGAACTTTAAATACTTTGCAAATATAGTAGTGCATAATATTTTACACTGTCCTTTTATTTAATCTACATTATCAAGTATCTTAGAGCTCTACTTCTCAAACCATTTATGGTGAAGGACCAGAATTTTTTCTAATCCATCACAAACAAATACATTTGTAAATATAAAAAAATACACTATTAGAAAAGTGAAATTAAAAAAATAGTCATAGAAAATATAAACCCCAATTGTTTTATTATTAGATTGACCGGACATAAGATTGCTCTGTCAAATTGCTACGAGACACTAAATACTTACTCTAATTTCTGCACTTACATTGTCATGGACAAATAACAAGGTCTCAACTAGCACCAGGACACAGACTGAATGCTCTTAGAATGTTAAAACAGCATTAGCCATATGATGCAACTTCTAATCAGGTTTTTTTAGGAATTTGCAAATCTTAGTATATTTGAGGTTTGATAAGTAATGTTGCAATTTTTAACTACTTGCAAGAGCTTGTTACTTTACTAGTGATTTTGGGGGCCCAGCTTCTGATGGAGATAATTAATTCTATATAATCCCTTTTTGCTTTTTTATGGTCTCTCAAAGAGGGCAGAGTTGTCACAACTTTGTGTATCTCTGTCGAAGGCAATGTCTACACTAGCAATTCAATATACCACATTATTGAAATTGCTTCAATTGTAAGCTTTGAAACAATTATGATATATCCCAAGATTTTAAATATGCACAGCATTAGCATAGATGTCAACAAATGTTGAACAGATTTTTCAAATCTTGGATATATTTGAATGGTTTTGACATGACTTCATTTATTTTAAGTTTGTTTGTTTCAAAACTAGTAATGCATATTTTGTTAGTAGCAAATATGCATCAAAGAGTCAGATTGCTAATCTCAAAATAAATCTGAAAACACTCCACTCTGAGACTTGAAAACAGCCCATGTTAATATAAATGAATTTCTTAAATATTTTAGTTATTACACTAAGTACCCTGTGACAACATAAACTTAAAAATCGCAAATTACTTTTAACAGTCAAATCTTTCCCTGATTTCTTACAATTATTTTTGCCTAAGAATGACTCTTTGAGCACCATTTAGTATTTTCAAAATATACATTGAAGAACATTTGTGGGAGGGGCAGTTAAGAGAATTCTGATTAATAACACAAGTTGGTTTATTAAGGTAAGCTGTTGTCTTAGCATATTTTTCCTTATTAATTTACTAGGTTAAATCATATGAAAAAAAGATTACCTACTAAGTGTTGCACAGACTTTCTTTGTAAATGATGGTTGAACTGCCACTAAAATTGGCTTCTGACACGACTGAAAGTTTTTATCACAGCTGCAAGCGCCTGGAGATGCCTTTCTCCAAACTGTCATAATTATAAAATCTGAATCTTGGAACCCAGTTAAATTAAGTGAGATAAATATTTCACATATTTGAAAATGCATGCTTATGGCAGATATCAGTTTTGGTTTATGCATTTCACTTGGATGAATAGTACAAAATGCTAATTTCAAAGATACATTTTCAGTCATTACATCCTGTTTACTCTGATTGTTTTTACAGAGGTAATTCAGTGTATATAACATAATTTTAGTCTTCTTTTTTATATTTCTTTCTTTTTTTTTATCCTTCTGTGCTCAAAACAGACAATGGTCGCAATGTCAAAGGTAATGTACGAACTCATCATCCGATGCTCAAAGTGCCCCTTTACTTGGCATGTTAACTTGCCTGCTGTATGCCCTGTTCAATGCAACATCATGCTGCCCTTAGCTAGTCCAGGTGCCTGGTGGAGACATCATGGCTTGATTTTGTTGGAGACATTGTTACTTTCTCAGCTGTGACACCAAAATGATTAGGAACTCCTTTTTCCTGCAAGAAGTATAAGGGTAGGTTGACAATGAACACCTCCTGGACATTTAAACCATTTGGAAAGAAACAAATACCGAGCTAAATATATTCCAGTGTGAAAGAGGCACATAAGCCTATTTCAGCCAAAAAAAATTTTTTTGAGTGTAAGATTGAATAAAGTAATCAAAGTGCTACATGACAGTATCACTTCACTTGTTCCTCTTTTGTTTCCTTAAAACTAGTTTCACGTTCCTGGATGGCAGGGGGTATGGTTTTAAGCTTACTGTAGTAGTAAACTGTACATGCATGACAGTCATTTTCTATTTCTCTATATTACATTTCAGTCATTTTTAATTGTGTCCTATCTTAGTCTGAAATCACTGGCATGACCTGTAGCTACTGTAGGGTAATGTTTAAGTGGGCAGTACTTCTGGATAAATCTGGATTTGACTAAAAACTTGAAATTCACCTCTGGTTTTTTTCTACTGTATCATAGTAGATATAAGGAATCACAAAATACAGTAATCATATTATTCTCATCAAGTTGAAGACTTTGGGGTTTAGTCTTTTAACATAGGCCATGCATGCTGCTGTCAGTGTGCCTATGGTGACAATGACTCATTTTGTGCATGTGTGTTGCATGGACATGTCTCTACCAGTAACCATCACTACTTAAAATTCACTGTTTGGGCCTCTTCTGTATGTCACTGCTACTCTGATCATGATGAAGTTTTGTATATTGATTCCTCAATTGCTTCCTTAATTAAGTCAGAGCTGGTGACGGTTATGAATTAATAGCACTAGACACTAAAGCTATTTTCTGGTCAGCTGTCCAGGGTGATTTGAAAAGAAGGGAAATTGGGCAGCTTCTCCCCACACCAATTTTATTTTGCAAGCACTTCAAAAAGGGTCTATGCAGGTGACCTCCAATAGCGGGATGGTAATTCATCTAATGATTATTCTATCCTTGGCCTTTCTACTGTAATTTCTAAAAGGGAGCAAATCAGTGTCAGCTGTGATGGTGATTTGCATTGATATAATCCAAGATATAATGTCAAGAAACAAAATACAGACACCTCTTGCCAACTCGCCTGTATGAAATATGAGGGCTTTAGCATTTAACAATTAGCAGTTAATTATTAAACATTAATTTTCCAGTGATCTTTTAAATGCAGTGAGACAAGAATCTAATTTTTCTCAATAAATAGAAAATTGAGCTTGTTTATCTTCCAAACTAGCAGTTCACACAGTTGCCATTCAAACTACATTAATCTTACTTTTCTCTCATAAATGAATCCATATAATCTCCAACTCTTTTCCCTCCACCCTCCATTTTTTAACATCAATAGTCTGAATAAAAACGAATTATCAAAGTCAGAATTTAGGGTTAGGAAACTCTAAACCATTGTAGAAAGTTTTCACATGTTAATATTATGAAGTTAAACTCCCAAATTAAATTTTTTAAAAAATGTGCAAGTTTAATTCTAAAATTAATGTAAATGTACCCTCCAAAGTTTTCATTCTTTATTCAGACTCTGGTTTTGAAACTATCAAAAAATATTTAAATGTCTGGCTCTTTAAGATTTTCACAGAACAGTTAATATCCTAATTAGATATAGAACAATACATTAAGTGTGCTTTTAAATTTTTTTGGTGTTGTTTCTAAACCACATTTAAATAAAAGGTTTAAAAAATAAATGACAAAGTTCTATACTTCTTTGCATATAAATGCATAATTAAAGGTTTTTTTCAATATCTAAATCACCCCAAAATAATTTCTTTACCAAAATAAAATAAGTAATTTTGGCAGGCATTTGGAAGGACTTCAAGAGCATCTGGTTTATTCCCGCCAGGCGAGGGTGTTGGCTAAATCCCTGACACAGGTGGTAGAGGAATCTTTATCTCCTGAGGATCCCATGCTTTAACTTTCTTGGGAAATCTGTTTTACTGCCTGTTACACAAAGAGCTAATTGAAACCCTTCTTGCTGAAACGCAATTTCCTTGCCCCCTTTATCTATCCTGAGTGGGAAGAGATACCAGCTGGTTACTTTTAATCTTGATGTAATATCACAGTATAAAAACTGCAAATTGGTTCTCGGTCTTGTCTTCTAAAATGGAATCATTTCCATTTAACCTTCTTTCTTAGTATTAATTTTGTTTCCCTTGAATAAATTTCCTTGGCACTCTGACTCTTTGAAATGAGACTCCAGAGATCTAAGTGTAACCCCTTATCAAGGATTATAACAGTGAATTCAAATAAATTGTGTATGCTGTTTATATGTGTGTATGTACATGAAATTTTTTAACAATTTCTTTAATATTGTGAGAGGTGAACCTAATCCTATCTCAACTATGCATAAACTGATTTTCACCTCAAATTTAGTGGTTTCTCTGCCTATTCTTCGTTTCAAGTCAACCACAAAAATTAACCCCACTTACCCTACTTAGTAAATAGGTCATTAATATAACTTTACCCCTCTATTGCTTCCACCTCCTTATTATTTCAAGTGACTCTGCATCCCACTGACAATGGTATGTTCAGTTTCCGTCTTGTCTATGAATCTAACATATGAATCAGAAACAAAACTATTTGCAAGATCTGTTACAGCCTTCACCTCCTCAAGCCACAAAACCTACCAGACTCACAAAGGAAATCAGCTTGTTTCTCCTAAGCTACACTGGCCATTACCAAGGTTTGGTGGTCTTACATGAATTTGCAAACTGATTTTCAGGGGTGATAGCTTTCTTCTGAAAATCGTACGTCATGCGCTGAAGGAGACAATATGAATATTGACTACAAATAATGTGATTACTTATCATCTTTCTAAGTGTTAAATTGGTTGCCAGTGTTCTTTTACTGAATCCAATTATTAGACATTTCATTTGCATTTTTTAATGTTAAGTCACTTCAGCAATTTATATTTTATTAAATTTTAGCCTAATAAACTCAGTGCCCTAAGAAATACTGTGTAAAGACCTGATGATTTGATAACAACCTTAATGTTTTTGCTTTCCTTCTCTTGTGTCCCATTTGATCCTCAAGAGCAGTGATCTTTAAAAAAGAAAATGGCATTATTTTTTTTTTAATTATCGGATGTCCATGGTTAGTTTTCCAGCACCATCTAAAAGAAAATATATTCTCTTTCAGCTTCTTGTAACTCATGATAAATTCAAATAGCCTCATCATAAAAATTTTAAATATCTTTAATCTAAAATCCTTCCCAGGTGTTGCTTTAGCCTCTGGCTTGATCTCTAAATTCAGGATATTTCTTTGTAGCTGGAACTGGCCTACTTTATATTTAATCAGACACTTGTAATATATTAGAGCTTTATCTAGCTGTTGGTTACTCTACTTGGTCACCTGTTTTTCATCTCCTTCTCATACACTGGAATGTTTAAACTGGTCATCCATTTCGCAAATGTTTCTCTAAAGAACATCAAGTCCCCCTATGTACTTTTGAGTTTTACATTCCCTTCTATTGAATCTACTATTTCCCTTTATTTCTGCCCATTTATTTTATTTAAATTCATTTACTTTGTTTTTCAGGTTATTCTCCTTTCTTTCATTAGAGTCCTAAATCCCATCAGTTCATGATCACTCTCAGGGAGGCTGCCTTTCACCTTTAAATCCTCAACCAAGGCCTCTCTGAATATAGACCTAGGAGGTAGGAAACCCTGTATTCTGATTTCTAGTCCTTGATGCTTATTCCCCTTTGGCCTCATAGTCTGTCTGCTTAGGTTTACAATTAGTAAAATGAGAATATTGTGGATACCTATCTTAATTGAAGTGTTGGAAAATATTTCACTAGAATTTAGATAGGTTTTAGAGGAACCTAAGCTAATGCTGATCATCTTGCAGTCTCAGACTCCTGCATATAAACATCTACTTCAAAATCAGTGGAAAAAAGCATAATTATCTTGGTTATGCAGGATGAAATAGATTGTAAATGTCTTATCTAAGTAGCATGCATGGATTATTTTAAGGTTTTGCTGAATTCTTTAAATGTATAGATTTAAAAGAAAGCCTAGATTAAATCTCTAATATTAAGAACTTAAAAAAAAATAACACAGAATAGAGTAACAGTTCAGAAAGTTTATCCACAAGTAAATATGAGAAGCTAAAATATGGACTCAATGACATTACAATGTCCCCTTGTTTCTACAGTATTTTGTTATACTCATTTTACTATCCTGTAACAACATTTAAAGATAATTTAACCTATTTCTAAAAGATCAATATGATTCTTTAACCATAATATAAAGGAGGAATACAAGAAAAGCTGTTTATAATAAAATGGTATTTTTCTCAATATGTTGATGTTCAGATATAAATACACTAGAAGATACAATGCAGTGATCAGACATTTAAAAAAAAATGGTTTTAAGAGCATTAAATTGTCCAGATAAGAGCGGGAGTATGGGTAGATAACAAAATAAAAACCACTATTGGAATAAATAATAACAGATCAGAATTATTTATATACGAATTTTAAAAATAAGAAATAACCAAATTGAATTATGAAAAATACACCAAGATAAACTGGGGAGAAAATGAGGAAGTATAATATTCACACAAATGAGCCAGGCCTTACCAGCTCAGTGTAATGTCAACATGATTCCCTATGTGATAACATGTGATAATGACTTGCACTGAAGAAAGAAATCCCACCAAATGTCAGAACATATATTCTTCTTCCAATATTTCAAAAAGCCCTTGCAGACCATATGTCTTCCTAAACAATGGGACTAGAAGATGTATTGGAGCAAGAAATGGCAATCAAGACATTTAGGTGAAGTCGTGGCAGATCTCTAGGGAGTTACTAAAGTGAGATTAGAAACCAACAGGCAATGTCAAGACAAATAATTTCAAGTGTTTAGCTCTTATACATAGTTTCCTTTAATTGCATCATGCATCATTTTACATATATAGAGAACAATAATATGAAATATTTTTAAAAGAAATTTTATTAATTATTTTCACTGTGATTCTTATAATTCTCTGAAAATTTAATCTTTGGTTCCAACACTGGAAAAAAAAAAGACTCAAATCTCTTTGCTTACATATTTATTCATAACATGCAAACACAAACTATAACCTTACAACCTGAAGTTTGAAATTTCATTTTGGTAATTCAAATGTCACAAGTAGCATAGCTCCAAGTGATAACGATTTTCCAAAATGGCGAACAACTTTTGGTAAAGTTCCAAACAAAACAATGTAAAACTCTTTCCCCTACATGGTAGTTGTAGCTCTGGAAAGCTCAATGTATATTAAAATCATGTTAAAAGTAAATTGTGCTCTTTATATGTGACACAGGTTCAAGGCTCAGATCATTATAAACAGGCTTTCTTTCACCTACATGAATGCCCACTGAGAGATATGGGCCAGTTTTTTCAAGGTGAAAGAATAGCCACCTCCCATCATTATGAGAAACAAAAATGTCCCCACAAATGTCCCTAGGATGAAGTACTGAGACCTCTTGTTCATTGGTTTAGCCAATTCAGGGGAGTTTATTGGAACCAACCACGAGGACAATCAAAGTATATTTAACAGTGTTTGTCTCCCTTAACGTCATAGATCATCCATGTTTTTGCCCGATTTTTTAAATAACTCTGTAGACAATCCGCTACAGAAATCCACCACATAGAAGGATGATAAAGAGAATTCAAAGATGGGCATAAGGGTTTTAAACACAACTATGTATCTGAGCTCAGCTTTCTCTAATCTCTTCTCAGTATCCCTGTGTGTAATAAAAATACCTAATGAGTGAAAATATGACATTAGAATTGAGGAAAAGCCATTATCTAAGAAGTCTGAAGTCCTAGAATGTTTTACAAATTATAAATTTTAAGATATAGGCCTGGAATGTAGCCATAGAATGATACAAAAAAAGGAAACACTATGTAGGATATGTTAACAATAATAAATCAGTGGTTTGTGGTGGAGACTTATAAAGAGACCTAGAGGATGGAGTTTCTGTCAGACCTGTCTGGACTCTAGATTAATATGGTGCCGCTTTTGGCTCATATTTCTCTCTTTGTCATATAAATAGAAAAGAGAATACGAATCTATATGCAAATGAGAGCATATTGGACAATAAATGCCCAAAGAGCTCAATGACATTTTTCACCTAGATGGACTTGATCAAGATCATGGATAAAACTCAGGGGATGAATAGAAATGTGCCTCAGGGAACACAATATCTGCCACATAGGTGAAAATTCTCTTAAAATCATTTCAAACTTTTATAATAACCTAACATGAACTTTTATAAATGAATATAGTATGAATTTTCTCCAAGTTAACTATGAACTAAGTGATGGATATTTTTTATTAGAGTTCTGTTTGAGCGAGTTGATTTATTATTGTGGTTCAAAATACACAACCTATAAATCTAATTTTCAGGTGTTTAGACCTTGTTTGGTGCATAAAGTGCTTTTTGATCCCTAAAATATATTCATTTTATTCTGAACAACAACAACAAAAAATAGCATAAGGCAAAATTTGCTGACTAGCAAGTTCAGTCATGCAGTTTCCATGTTTTAAGCACTCTCTGAGGCAGCAAGATAACAGCTGGGTAACACTCGTGGGCTCAGGATTTCTATATAATTCTTCCTGATGCCAATTTTTAAGAGCTATATAATGGTAAAAGTTGCAAAACCCATTATACAAGAAACTCTTCGGAGAATTTCCTGACTTTCCATAAGCAACACACAGTAAGTTCATCTCAAGATGTAGCTGGTCAGTGTATTCGTCCTGGACAAGGGGGGCAGGAGTCCTAAAACCTTGACCAATTGTCTTCATAAGGAAGAAATGAAATGTGAGAAATGACCAGGTTTGGACAAACAGTATTAACTTCCAGCTATAAGATGAAAAATTTCTGGGGATCCAAGGTATAGCATGATTAAAAAAAAAAAAAAAGTAACCAGATACTACCAACCCCAGCCCATTACCTAACTATGTCATTTCAATTGTAAATTATGTTTGTCAAAACATTCTTCTGGAATGGTTTTTATAGAGGTTCCCTCCCCCCCACCCCCTAAAAATGTCTTAAATTTAAAAGAAAGGGGAAAAAAAGGAAAGATTTTTAAAACTTCACATAGGATTCTAGAGTTTTCAGTAGAATACACACACATACACACAAAGACATTGGCCTTTCTTGATTTTACCTGAAATTCCTCCATCTGGGCTTGACTCTTCTAGAAGCTCAATAAAACATCTCATACAGGTAATAGAAGCATATAAAAAACTCAGCTGGCTTATCACTTGTCATGGCCCAGAGAGGAGAGTAATCCATATTGGAGCTGGGTAGATGGCCCGTTCAGAAATTTCATGGCCAACAGGATTTTAACCATAGGCAAGTCCTTCCTTGAATAAACCCTGGATTGTGAAAACACATTCTTGAGAAACCAATTTGGCCAATAATAGGCCAATAATAAGGAGTCGAGTTTTTTTTTTTTTTTCTTTTATTCCAGCCCCTAATGAAAGAAGTTAAGTAACAGCTAAAGATGCCATCTGCTTTCTGGGTACACACCTTGGATCCCATCTTACCCTCGGATACTCACGTGTCGTTCCATTTGGCAGACACTGACCCTAAACCTTGTGTTCAGGTATCAGCTGGCTGCATTTAGTCCTTCCCAAAGCAGGGTCACACTGGCTGTGGATCATTAGCGGGTCATTCAGGACCATCTCTTTCTTCTATTTCTCCTGACACTGCTTTTACAAATATTTTCCAATTTTTTTAGGGCCCTTTAATCATATCAAGTCAAGCCTCCTGGGATCCACGTCAGATTCTAATCTCAATAAATACAGCACCATTAACAAGATTCCACAGCTCACCCTGAATTTTTCGGATGTCAAAACTGAAAAAAAGAATGCATCCCCTCCTTCTTCAGATAAAACCATTATTGCACCCAAGGTTAAAGATCGAACACACAATGTGACAGAGAAAGTCACCCAGGTAGGATATGATCTTACTCTCAATTTTGACTATTTCTAAGGTTCTTCTCTGCACTATAAAACACATGATTTTTCCTATAAATGACTATCAAAAGAGGTAAGCTATTTATTTGCACTCCAATTTATCTTGAGATGTTGGGTAACCCTCTAATGCAACAGATAAATAAAGCTATAGACTGTGATTTTATCTGTTACAAGACTAAGCGAAAATGGGCTAACTTGGTATTGTTGTTCTCTTTGTTGCAGAGGTGGTTAACCTGCTATTCATCATGTTTGGACATTTATTGTTTTGCTGCCAGTGACTGCATTATTAAAGCATGGTTTCTTAATATAATGGATGTGACTATTGAAACTTTAGGTGACTACTTGGGATTTACTCTAAACTATGGCCTCCTTTTTTGCACTTACTCTACTAAGTAGACTCAGATATAAGTCAGTTGGCTTGAGGAAAAGAGCTGAAATGATTAAAAGTCAGAGTAAATAATACCTTTCACAGGAGCAATATTTTATTGTTTTCAAATAAATATTGCAATGTGAACTAGGGTAAAAATGTACTGTCTAGCAGGAGCCCTACTTTAAAGAATAGATAAAAATAATTTGTACTTATTATATCAAAATACCAACCTAAGCAATATCTAGCTTTTGCTTACAATGCACTTACATTGTTGGGAATTTATGACTTTAAAATTTGTGTCAAGTAAACAGTTCTTTTACAAACACTTTACTTGGTATATTTGCTTAACAAATCTTTTCAAGAACTGTCACAATATAAAGGTAAACTTGGCCCCAATCTCTGTCCCAAGCCTTGAAGATTTTGAATTGATAAAGTTTTTTCTGTAATTATAATCACTACCAGCAGTACTAGAGTTGGTCTGTAAATAACCCATTATGTGTGAGCTGAAATAACTACGTGAAGACTGTGAGTCACTTATAAATAGACCTGAGCCCTCTGTGTTTGAGATGAGAAATTATACATGCCATTACTCTACTATATATATATATATATTTATGTTTTATTTTTTAATTTAAATTCAATTAATTAACATATAATGTACTATTGGTTTCAGAGTTACAGATCAGTGGTTCATCCATCTTATATAACACCCAGTGCTCATTACCACACATACCCTCCCCAATGTCTATCACCCAGTTTTATGTGTATGTAGTAATGAGGCTTTCTACCATGCCATACTTGAGAGCATCTCTAGTCTATATTTTAATATTTATGTAGTAGTGAGGTTTTCTACCCTTAGCATTTCACTTTTCTTAACTTAGTAAACTAGAAATGAAAAATAATTTATAATAATTATATTATATTAATATTATAATTTATAAGGATTATTTATAATAATCCCATAACACAGAAATTAAGAGATTTCAGAAATTACACAGAGGACTGATTGCAAATATTGGGGTCAGGACCCTGTCAGTAGCCTAAGTGAGCAAAGTCGCCAGGACAGCACAACAGTAGTGGAGAATATAGTGAAGTGTAGGGTGCAGGGCCCCTCGACAGCAGACGGTCACCATTCAGCTCGAGCCAGTTGTGGTCATGTAAGAATCTTTGATGAAGCTTTCCAAATCTTCCAATCTAAAAAAGAAACTGGAAATCCAGGATTTAAGATAAGCACTTACTTTCTAAATGTTGGCAAACTAATTCAAAATGCTTTTTTAAGCCAAACAAGGCACATCTTAAAGTCTGTGGGCAGCCAAATGTGATCTCTGCAAAGCTTTCCTGCGCTTGGTTTACCACAGGGTCGACCCTATCCTGCCACCTTTAGCAGCTCCACCGCGCTGGGATAGGGTGACACACACGTGGACCAGAGGTGGCGCCTGCTCTGGGGACTTCCTACTTTCTAAGCCTGGTGAGAGAGGAAGATTGCAAATAGCCATAATGAAATTATGCTAATAATGAATACAGGAACATACTTAGGGGGAAAGAAAGTGATTATGCTTTAAAAGGAGAATTTTCAGAGAAGAAAGAGAGATATGATGGGGCATTTCGTCTAGATCCAGAAGGTTACGTATCACATTGAGTAGTAAGTGATGTTTAAGAGCACAAGTTAGAGTCACATGCACTTGTGATTTAACTTTGGCTAGGTCATTGATGGTATGCCATGGAGATGAGTGTCGTTTATTGTGTGACATCCAGGCAAGTTTTAGTGACAAAACTTTTTTCTCAGTGTTGATGTAAAAATTAGGTAGAGTGATGTGTGGAAATGTTCATCACAGTGCTAAATATTTAACATACAATGTTAGTCATTTTTCTGTTTAATAATGTTTTTGTATAACTTCTGTCTGCCTTCCTCACCATCTCTGCATTTTATCCCTACCTCACCAGAACCTAGTAGAACACCTGGCAGAGTGGAGTTCATGAAATGTTTACTAAAAGAAGGGAGAAAGGAAGGGTGGAAAGGTGGAAGGGAAGAAGGAAGGAAGGAAGGAAGGAAGGAAGGAAGGAAGGAAGGAAGGAAGGGGAAGGAAGAAAGGGGAAGGAAGGAAGGAAGGGAAGGAAGGAAGGAAGGAAGGAAGGAAGGAAGGAAGGAAGGAAGGAGGGAAGGAAGGGGAAGGAAGGAAGGAAGGAAGGAAGGAAGGGGAAGGAAGGAAGGAAGGAAGGAAGGAAGGAAGGGGAAGGAAGGAAGGAAGGAAGGAAGGAAGGAAGGAAGGAAGGAAGGAAGGAAGGAAGGAAGGAAGGAAGGAAGGAAAGGAGGGAGGGAGGGGAAGTTGGTGAAAAGGGAAGGCGTGAGAATCCCAGGCAGAGAAAACAGCAAGAAGAAAGTTGTGGAGGCACAAAAGTCCATATGTCTTCTGAGAACAGGTATTTTCCTGGCCCAGGGAGAAGCTAGGCTGGGAAGGGACTTGTGAAAGGTGCAACTTTCCCCTCTAGATGGTTCTTCACTACCTTTTCACAAAAGTGCCTTGGGAGTCTAAGTAAAATGTGACAGCTACTCTCAAACACTTGGCATTCTTTTAAGGTCTCATGCTTTCTTTTTAAATTCCTCTTTTAAGGGCACCTGGGTGGCTAGGTCAGTTAAGCGTCTGCCTTCAGCTCAGGTCATTGATCCCAAGGTCCTGGGACTGAACCCCATGTCAGGCTTCCTGCTCATCAGGGAGTCTACTTTTTCCTCTGCCCCTGCCCCCACTCATGTTCTCTCTCTCTCTCTCATTCTCTCTCAATAAATAAAATAAAAAGCCCTCTTTTATATTTACTTTCATAATATCACAGTTATTTGTTTTAACATTTTTAAAAAATGTTTTAAATTACTTACCACTGAGGTAATCCCAAGCCCTCAAAAAAAACCCATTGCTTTCCTACAGCTTTTCATACTTTACCCTAATAGTATAGCGCCCCTCCCACAGACTCCAAAGGACCCTAATTGAAAAACAATGCACCCTAAAGATGTTGGAAGATTTGAATTGGATCCTGTTTTATAAAAGATCAGTCTTTTTTTTAACAATGTGAAAAATCCAGTGATAAGAAGGACATCCTGGTGACAGAACCCTTAAGTGGCTATGGTTCTGGCCAAAAATGATGAGGGACTGAAAAAAGGCTGGGACCAAAAACTAGAAAGAAGAAGTGGTAGGAATGCTCCATCTTCTTTTTAGTGCCATCCGTAGCTCTTAGTAACAAACCTGCAAACTGCCTACATGTAAAACCAAACAAGGTAGAGATTGAATATTGAGAAATTCCTCTTGCAGACATTGCCTCTGGAAATTTTGTTTAAACACGTGAAAGCAGGACTAACCTCACTTAATGTTTGTGAAGTTTCCTCATCATAACTATCTCTGGAATTTCAGTATTCACAACATATAACATCAGTGTCCTCTAATCACTAAAAAAACTTGATAGTAACCCAAAGATTTTGCTATTCCCTTTGTTAGGCTTGTATGGAAATTCTCCTTGTTGAGATATTCTTACTGCATTTCTGTAGGCAGCCAGCAGTATTTTCTTTATCTAATGTTCTTGTTTTATTTCCCTAATAGATTTGTATGGTAACCTATTCTTCAAAAGAAATCAGGGTTTTGTTCATAGATCATTCAACAGTGAATTTTAAACACTCCTCTGAGCACAACAATAGAGCAGACATCAAGAAAAAAGGCATAAAATGAAAGGAACAATTAATTTCTGTTCATGTTATGCTCTATCAGTATTTGGATCTTATCTCTATTATACATTGGTTAATTGCTAATTAGCCAAATTGTTATTTCTTTCCCAGCTAGAGTGTGCTTCTGTAAAGTAGGGGTCATGTTGTTAGTCATTCATTCGTTCGTTCGTTCATGCATTCATGTATTTGTTTATTCACTCAACAAGCATTTATAAAGAGCTAGTATGTACAGTGATAAGTTCTGGGAATTCATATGAAAAGGCAAATACTGTGCCTTTGAGAAGTGAGAGAGACAGACAAGCACAGTCCATAGGCATTAGGATGCAGTGTGAAGGATTATACTACAGGTAAACAGAGTACAGGGGTTACTGGAAGAAGAAACCTTACCTATATTGGGAGTTTGGGATGGTGGTTGGGGAATACAAACTCTTTGAAAAGTTTTGAAGCTTGAGAAGTTTCAAGGTTAGGAATTAGAATCTGGAATGGGGCACATTTGGAGAACTGTGAGTACCAGAGAAGGAATGAAATGTAAGGTGTTTGTATCACTAGAGCCTACCATAATACACAACGCATAAGAAGAATCTTAAAAGGTTTGGAAATGGACCACTGAAGACATTGAAGAGAATTAAACAAGAGTAAGTCTGTTGGTCAGAAATCCCCAAAGTAGATGCTTCCAAATTCTCCCCATAGGCAAGATTCTGATTCTGGCTGTTGTTTCAGGTCCAGAGACTCTTTTCATTAGCTGGTCTTATAGGCCAGACTTCTGGAATGCATCAGCCGTTTATGTCATATTCCATATGACCTTCTCTATTAATTGGAGAAAATAGAAAATAACTCTCAGAAGGTGTGGATTTTTTTTAAACTACAATCTAGCTGGTACAGGCTGATGTGTAGTAGG